ATCTGCAAAAATGTCAACAATTCTGTGTTTTTCTGTCAATATGGGGTGCTGTGTGTACATTAATGAGGAAAAAAAATTAACTTAAATGATTTTAGCAAATGGCTGCAATATAACAAAGAGTGAAAAATTTAAGGGGGTCTGAATTCTTTCCGTACCCACTGTATGTGACCCTGGACCACAAAACCAGTCTTAAGTGTCAAATTTTCAAAATTGAGATTTATACATAATATGAAAGCTGAATAAATAAACTTCCCATTGATGTATGGTTTGTTAGGATAGGACAATATTTGGCCGAGATACAACTATTTGAAAATCTGGAATCTGAAGGTGCAAAAAAAAAATCTAAATATTGAGAAAATCGCCTTTAAAGTTGTCCAAATTAAGTTCTTAGCAATGCATATTACTAATCAAAAATTAAGTTTTGATATATTTACGGTAGGAAATTTACAAAATATCTTCATGGAACATGATCTTTACTTAATATCCTAATGATTTTTGGCATAAAAGAAAAATCTATAATTTTGACCCATACAATGTATTTTTGGCTATTGCTACAAATATACCCCAGCGACTTAAGACTGGTTTTGTGTCGTCCAGGGTCACATAAAATATTCACAAATTGAAAGGATTTATTACAGTGTTGAGGACAAAAGACATGCGTTTGGACTTTAGTTTTGGTTTTCATTCTTTGTCCAAATAAAAATGGAAATAGCATTGGAAAGAAAACTTACCTCTTCATTTCATGTGGTTTTCTCCAGTGTTGGCATATTTCCTATTGAATCTGGGAAAGCATGTTCCTGTCATCATTTCACAGCGATGCCACAGAAGAACAAGTTTTGGTTCCCCAAAGAACCTTTCAGTGAACAGTTCCTCAAAAAAAAAGAAGAAAAAAAAACCTTTCTTGATGTGAAGACCATTTTAATAATCTAAACAAACTTTTTCCACTATGAAGAATGTTTTATGCGATGTATAAAGGTTCTTTACGGTACTACAGATGCCAAAAAGAATGTAGATGGCTTCAAAACTAAAAGAAAGGGAATAAAAGCCACAAAACTCTCACTTTGACTTCATGGGGTTTATAGAGTCAGCAATATATCTGTTCCAAAATTCCTTACTTTTTCAAGCTAAACTCGTAGAATAGAGACTTGGCAATGTTTCTTTCCATTCAAGTGGCTGAGTAAACAATCTCAAATGTTGTTGTGGTGAGTTGGAAGCAGCTGGATGTAGATAGATGCAGCCAATTAAGCCATTTATTCTAAGGCAATACAAACTTACATTTGTTTAGCACAAGTCCTAGAAAGACACAGTTTCAGGACATTTAAGGACCATTTGAGACAACAACACATCTATTAACCTCATTTTCACATGACTGTAACTAATTAGTTAACACTGTTCAAAGTAATTTTGGCTAACAACAAACCTACTGCATCCACAGTTTATACTCTTCTTAAAAGAGGATGGAAATCTCACCATTTGCTACCAATTATCCGATCTTATTATGACTTTTTTATATGTTCTTATTCTCACTATGAATTTTCCTTAGAAGCCCCCACCAGCTCAAGTAGGACCACCCTTTTTGAGACAAGTCAACACTGTGTGGCACAAACCAAAACATATGAGACCAGAAATGTTTGACATCATGGAAACCAAAATAATGCCATGTTGTTTTTGTTTGTCTGTACAAAGTTACTGACATGATAAAGAACCATTTTTGTAGTAAATGTCAAGCACAGAAGTTGAACCATCAACAACATGAAATAAAAACGAAATAGCGTGCACTGCTGAGACTACAAACGTGTAAGAAAGGATTTACCATAGAAATACTGTTTAATATCAGTGTGTTCTTATTGATTGTGTGACTCACTCCAACCACAAAGGCACATGCGCTCATCTAAAAGAATAGTTGAAATGAAAATGTACTCACCCTCAGGCCATCCAAGATGTAGATGAACTTGTTGCTTCATCAGAACAAATGTAGAGAAATTTAGCATTACATCACTTGTTGTGATCCTCTGCAGTGAATGGGTGCCATCAGAATGAGAGTCCAAACAGCTGATAAAAACATCACAATAATCCACAAGTAATCCACACCACTCCAGTCCATAAATGTATGAAGCAATTCCACAATTAAGATGTTTTTAATATCGCTTACTCCAGTGAAAAAGTCGTCTCGTCTGAATCCGGAGAGAAATATGCATAGATCAAGCACAGCCAAAACAATTCTAAACTTATAAGTCAGTGGGTGTTGATGTGAGAAGAAAACAGGGGATGGACTTTTTTCACTGAAGGAAGCGTTATTATGGATTATGGACTATAAATTACTTTATATAGAAGCGACTATCTATTAAAACACCTTAATAGATTTATTCATTGCAAACATGCAGGTTTTACTTCACAAGATGTTAACTGATGGACTGGCGTCATGGGTATTGCTACATTTCTCCAAAAAGTGTGTGTGTGTGTGTGTGTGAACTATTCCTTAACTGACAGATTTTATGCAGAGAATGAAAGCAGACTACTATAAACAGCTGGAGAGGTGAGCGCATTTGGCATAAAATGACAGCTTAGCTCATGAGTCATGGCCTGATCTGACAATGAACATACTTCAGCACTTTTCAAAGAAAGTACACTAGGTCTCAAGTGACTCCAAAAGGCCATATGGTGGGGTGTGAGGGGACATGGTCTTTAAAAACCATTAGGCCACAGTTGACTCATTATTCTGGTTTAACAGGGGTCTGTACTATTCAGTACTATCAAACACTGGTGGTTCATTACAGCCATTATAATGGGAAATACAGATTTCACAGCTTAAACCATCATTGTAGCCTAATTAAAATGTCTTAGTGACTCAAACTTCACATTTTTATATCCAGATACTAAGCATGTGTCCAAGCAATAGCACACGTCAGTGGTGTGAATGGTGGCAGAACTGTTCAAAATATCCAAACAGCTATGTATAGATCATAAATACATCATCCATAAAAGAGAGAATGTTAAACAATGTTAAAAAGACAGAAGAAAGAAACAAATACAAGTTTGGAACAATTTGAGGGTGAGTACATGATGACAGAATTTGAACTTTAAAGTCAAAATGTGATGTTGATTTTTCATTATTAGCCTTAAATGCTGATTATCTCAATTTCAAGATGGATATATAACATCGTAGCCAACAATAACTCAACAATCTCATTTTGCCTTTAAATATTTATTTGGATTAACCAAATGCACCATAGAATATCCTGAAGCCATAAACATATGCAAATGAAAGCTCTTTAGTTATCAGCCATTAAGAGCTCTGGATTCCCGTCTCTCCTCTCCAAATGTGTCTAGTACGGCCGGCTGAACTCTAGCAAATAAACTTTGACCCTTTAAGACTTTGTCTTCTGCCTGACAGATTCTGAATGACAGACCACAGCTGTTTAAACAATCAAAAGCCTGTCTATCTTTAAAAAAACTGACATGGCCACAAACAAAGGTGACACTGGTCGTAACACAACTTTCCTTTACCCACAATGACGCCTCTATTGCAAACTTGCACAGCACCGAATGAATTCCTATCTGTGGCCCAATTGCTATATTGGAGGATATAGTTGGTTTAAAATAGGAAAAACTTGGCAAAAAATACCAGACTTTTTTATTTTATTTAAATTTTCCATCTGGACCACCCTTTTCAGTGAGAGATTGTTAAGTGTAATTCAGGCTTTTGGTGTTAAAAGTTGAACATTGTCGAACATAGCACACTAAACGAAAAAAGGGAAAATAAACATCAAAGGATGAAAAACAGACGAAAGACAGGGAGAGTGAGGGGTTAAACTCAGGCTGGGGAAACCTGATGCTAATTAAGTCTTTGGAATGCCACATAAGGGCTGTGTCCTGAAACTTAGCGAGCTGCCTTTGGTTTAAAATAGGAAAAACTTGGCAAAAAATACCAGACTTTTTTATTTTATTTAAATTTTCCATCTGGACCACCCTTTTCAGTGAGAGATTGTTAAGTGTAATTCAGGCTTTTGGTGTTAAAAGTTGAACATTGTCGAACATAGCACACTAAACGAAAAAAGGGAAAATAAACATCAAAGGATGAAAAACAGATGAAAGACAGGGAGAGTGAGGGGTTAAACTCAGGCTGGGGAAACCTGATGCTAATTAAGTATTTGGAATGCCACATAAGGGCTGTGTCCTGAAACTTAGAGAGCTGCCTAACTAGACAGCATTTTTTGCCAGGATTTGCAGGTACAGTTTTGAGTCATTAATTGGTGCTTGCAGAATTATTGGGCATTTAGAAACATGGGGACATTGTAGATGCAGGCATGATTTTTGGGCATCGTGCATGCAGCACATTTGGGTTTAATTAGCACACAGAGCAAAAAAGCACACATGCTTTGGTTTTGGGCATTATATATGTGTGAGCAGAACCTTTCTATCTAAACACTTTTGAAATAGAATGCCATGGATTTTGTCTTAAAACTAAACTGAGCTATACCTAAACAACATTTTTGGGCATTCCTAATGCATCCAAAAATGCATGGGTCTATGATGCCCAAAATTGCTGCTTACATTGCCCCAAAATGATGTTATTGCACATATGATGCTCAAAAATGTTGCATGTGTGCATGCCTGATTTGGCCAAAAATGCAGCATGTATACCAATAATGCTTAAAATACACACAAATATGATTCCTAAAATGCTGCACTTACATATGATGTCTAAAATGTTGCCTAGATAGGGAGCTGACTATTTTTTGGGACACAGCCCATTCTCCTTCCGAAGTGTTTAGAGTGGCTCACACACACACTCCAGTGGAGGAGAGATGCTCACCTCCTGCTGTTTATATTTTCACTGACATTCAAACAGAAGACAGCTGCAGGTAAAATCATCTTGCTGTTTAAAGAGTTTATCTGCGGATTAATACAAGAACAACATGAAAACATAGTAGATGTGTGATAGACTCTTTTAATCGCGTATTTCCTCACGAGTCATACCTGTTATTTTCTTTATTTAGGCGGATAAATGATTAAACAATGCCATCATCCAAAAAGTCGCTTTTGTTCCTGGTTTATGTATTATGCACGTTCCGCGCTGCGCGCTCTGGGGACTTTGGAGACCCCAGACCCTGCTCTGGATCACACTGTCCGGGGGGCAGATCGTCCAGACCACCGCGACAGCACAATCCGACAACACAGAGCAGATCAGTAAATCACCATCATGCTCCCTCCAGCTTTCCATCGGAACATCACGCAACGCTTTTGTCCCAGCGCGCGCGGTCTGGAGACCAGACGAGGGCAACGGTCCAGACGCGCGTCGCTGGATTTGTTGGTCCTGTGTGCACAGACTGCGTTACGCCTCAAAGACCAGATCATGTTATGAACGACACCAGAGAATGTAAAGGAATTGAGTGCCGTCTGCCTCTGAGGATACGACCGAACCCCAGACCGAGACCCTGTGCTGGAGACGGGTGCGTGCTCGGGACCAGCCAGCCTCCCCTCATCCATGTGGCAGACAGAGCCGCTCAGTTTCTGGGGGAATTTCCGGACATTGGATACCCCGCATCAGAGAGTGGGGCTCCTCTGGGAGTTCAGCTCACTTGTGACATCAAACCAGGTGAATTGAAACAGTGGTTCCAGCTGTTCTGCACTTGAATTAGAGTATCTGGTAACACTTTATTTCGAAAGTCCACTTTAGACATTCTACTAACAGTAAGTAACTTTGCAACTACATGTCAACTAGCAGTTAGTAGAGTATTAGTAGACTGTCTGCTTAATATCTTCTAACACTTTCTTTGTCAACTTATTCTACTAACCCTAAACCTACCCTAAGTCTACTCTGAGAGTTAGTAGACATGTAGATGCAGATTAATGAGAATTAGTTGACATGTAGTTGACATGTAGTTACAAAGTTACTTATAGTTAGTAGAATGTCTAAAGTGGACTATCGAAATAAAGTGTAACCGAGTATCTTGTTTCAAAACTGGTATAACACTTAAGTAGACAGAGTAGGCTATTGTATTACTGTAGTTTATAAAAAAATGACATATAGCACAAATTATTTTTGTTACTTAATCCACTTAACTGTACAAAAAGTACATGGTATTACCATGTGCTTTATTAAATGCATACCATGGTAATATCATGGTATTGTCTAAAGTACTTTGGACTGTGTATATCACTTACAAAAAGTAGCTAACATGGTATGACCATGTGCTTTGTTGAACATATGCAGTAGCATGGTAATACCATGGTATTATTTGAAGTACATTGAACTGTGTAATTTTCATGAATTTTTCCACTATCTAAAAAGTAGCATGTTATTACCACAAGGGTTTTGGTCGTCAACTATGGTAATTCCATTATATAAATGTAGGTGCTTCCAACCTTTGTAGTCACCTGATTATTTTATAGTTTTACATATTATATTTTAATAAAATTATTTTTCCACAAATTATTAAATAAAATAATACATTGTAAATGATTTCATTTAATTTATATCACAGTTTCACAAAGCCCCTCCAGACAACTGATACCATTAATGTTGTACTCCAAACTATGCAGAGGAAATCTCTTTAATGCTCTTTATTGGAGAAGGATGCAGACCTGTTTTTGCTTGTGTGAGATATTAGAGAACCTACAGACATCACAGAGGAAATTCTCTATGTTCTTTGAAAAATATGCGACAGGGTGGGGAGTGTATACAAACTATCAGGCTCAATAAAACTCATACTTTATTCAATTTTCACATCAGTACTGGAATTTCCATACATCAATGAATAGGGGAATTTGACAGCTGGCCCTAGAACTATTATTGCAAGCATACACATCTGCTTGGCTACAGAGAGAGTGGTAGAGCTGCTAAACTGCTGGCAGTCAACTCTCAAGACACTGCAGACTACTTTGATCCATTTCCATATGATTGAAATAGTTTTAGCACTGGAGTTGGAAAAAATAGCACTTGGTTTAAAAAATGTGTGATCAAACTTTGACCTTCACATATCAAAAAGTTGTATTAACTTCAGAGAATTTCTTGTTTGGATCATCTTTAAATAAACTATTAATGTCGATTTACTCCCAAATAATTGTTCTCATATAAACCCAAATATAATATCAACATTGGCTACCAGAAATCGCTTACTCTGCCTTTAATGGAAATGTATATTCTCTTCTTAAAGCTAATTATACACTTGTTGGGTTATAGCCATAGTTACTCTTTCCTTTTTTTTTTACTAGGAGAGAATGAGGTCCCTGCCGAGGATGCACTTATCCTGCATCTACAGCTGGCAAAGGGACAAGAGAAGCTGGTGGAGGCTTTGAGAGCTCAACAAGTAGTGATCCGTGATCTGCAGCAGAGACTGGGGGAACAGCAGGGGGCCCTCCTCTCCCAGCAGCGTGAGATACTCGACCAGCAGCGCCGCATGTACGAGCAGATGGATGTGGTGAAGGCTCAGTACGGTCTGCTTTCTGAGACCGTCAAGCAATTCTCATTCCAAGGCTTGCAAGGAGAACTGCAAAGCTATTTTGAAAGCCACCTGGCCGGCCTGCAGAGCCAAGCACGTACCCACCTGCAAAAGTCCTATGCTGTGCATAAGGTAGATGTGGATGCCAAAGTGGTGAATGTAGTTGGAGATGCAGGGCACCCAGTGTTGGGCTGTCAAATTGCTTGTGGGCCTGAAGAATACTGCGACTTCCAGAAGGATCCACCGCAGTGTGAAAGGTGCACTATGTGTCCCCCTGGATTCTTCCTGGTGTCACAGTGCTCCCCCAATGCTGATAGGATGTGCCAGGTGACAGTGTGGCAGCAATTGCATTATGCATGCAACACATAAAATTTCAATGAAGAGCAGACCAAGTTATATGTCTTAATCTTTAACATGTCTTTGAGTAACAAATATCTATCAACAGGACAGGGATGAATGCCTAGAATTACCAAGCCTGTGTGGAGAGCGAGTAAAATGTCTTAATACCCCAGGTAAGCAAAATGAAAACCCCAATGCCTGCCTTTAAATGGTCTCTTGGGATTCACCAGGCTTCTCTTTGTTTCATTCTTCAGGTGGGTTTCGTTGTCTTGGTGTCTCTGAGAGGGAGATGTCCGCAGGGCTGTGTGGTCATGAGTACTTCTACAGTCAAGAACTTAAGGAGTGCCAGGCTTGTTCAGACTGTGATGGCGAGCCTGTTGGCATTCCTTGTACTTTCACCAGTGATACTTTATGTGGAACTGTGACTGAGAACATGCTCTCACAGTCTTGGACGGCTTCGATTGCCTTACCGCCTACAAAGTCGAAGAGTACTTCCATCTATCCAGGGCTACAGCTCAATATTCGTGGCAAAGCAGGAAACAACCTGTTGACCAACCATGATAAAACATTTGGCAACATTAATGTCATGTCTGCCTTCACTGTAAAACATGTTAAAACCAAAGTATATGTTGGCCTTTAGACCCGTGCATTTCAATGCAAGGAGTGGTATTTCATTTAATGTAGAAATAATGTAGTGTAATCTTTTATTAAATTTTTTTAAGTCATATCAATTTGCCAGAAAAAAAAAACTATGCTTCTTAATATTTTATTAAAGCTTTTTGGTGGCTCTATGAGATACAATCTACTTGAAAGTCCAAATAGACTGTACTATTCTTACAGTATATTTTAACCCTGTTCTATACTTGTTTAGTAGAGAACAGGTTATTTTCACTGCATTCTTATAAAAAAATATTGCTTGATCATGTCAGCTTTGGTTGATTTTTAAAATCTAGCACATGCTACGTGTGGTTGTTATTGGATTTGTTAGAGGACACTGGTTGCTTCATAATTGCAAATAAAATGTACTAACCAGTTTTTGCAAACCCATACATTCAGGATCCAGGTGTCCACCCATAGTTGATTCCAGATGGGTACCAGACATCCTTCCACTGGGCACAGCGTCAACCTCAAGAGGGCAGCAGTTTGGTGAAACTTCAGATAGCAGTACTGAAACAGTACAGGACATCATACTGAACTGCGAACGTGTGATAAAGAATCATATTCATCAGAGCTAATAATGCCTGAGATGTATCTGCGATAAAAGTTTTCAGGAACTTGGGTGAAAAACAATTTAATGTCTGCCGAAACATGACTAACAGTGCTTAAATTAGCGAGAAAACTGATTGTGTGAAACAATAGAATGTATTTGTCTGCTCTGGGAATGGAAAGCAGGTGTGTGGCGTGCTGGAACCAGATGTTTCTGGTGTAGATCAAATGAGATGTCGCTGCATACAAAAAATATCCATATAAAACACTATGGTTATAGGAAGAGAGACAGATATCAACTATAGAGAGAGAGAGAAAGAGAGAGCTGTATAAATAGTTAACATACAACTAGCCTGAAAATCACAGAAGTTTGGAAAGGGATGTTTTTGCTGGTTGGTTTCGATATGTGATTTTTAGATTGCGGAGGATTGTTTTTTTAGTACTTTTACAGTATGTTTTACAGTTTACAAACGGACTATCTTTTGTGATATATCCAATCAAAAAGATACAAATATAAAGGACTTTCAAAAGGAGTTTATATCTGCATGTGAACCTTGGAAAACAGAAAATGTAGAGCAGGTTTTCTGTTTTATAAGTTGTGGATTAAAATAAAACAGTTATCAATGCCAAAGGAAGGATTAACTGGAAAAAATCTCTCTTGACAGCATAATTATTTTGACATGTGTGGTGTTTATGCGGTGTGTTCCTCTCCAAGCATCTCTGCCCATATACTCATTAGTCCACATAAAGCAGAACAAGCTAAATCTTCAGCAATTTCTGCGAACAAACCATTTGCTCTTACACAAATTAAATATGAAATGAAAATGAATTACAACTACGGCAAGAAAATAAATGTAAACACAACAGCTTGGATGCTCTCACAAACAAAACTGTTCTGTCAATGATTAAGAAAGTTTCCATTCTGGTCAGAATGTGTACTTTTAGAATATATACACATTGAAAAAATTTGTACAGAAATACACATCATTTACAATAGAAGATAGCCTATAGCTTGTCAAATAGACTCTCGTAAGTGCATAAAATGGCAATGCATTTTTGTTTGATTTTGACAAAAGGATTGACAGCATGTAACAAATGCTGTACATAGAGAGTAACTCTACACTGTAAAAAATGATTGTGATTTTAACAGTAAAACACTGTAAAAATGCTACAGTAAAAACCTGTTAACTGGTTAACAGTAAGTTTCCATACTATATTCGGTGAATAAATGTAATTACATTTAATGTGATTCTACAGTAAAATACTGTTAAAAATACTTTTTTTGGAAGTGAAAAAGGAAAAGACAGTATAATTT